TGTAGACCCTGAGAATCGTAAATGTGAATATATAATTGCATAATTAACATTATAATGTATTTTTTAAAATCGCTAAGCATTTATGCAAAACACTCCAAAAATGACATAAAATCATACAGAAGATATGATGCTGCTGAACCACTGCAGAAATTAGAAAGAATCAAAATTTGTAAAAGGATCACTGATTAAGAGGTACTTTAATATATTTAAACAAACTGTAAAGCAGAAGAAAACAGTGTGGAAACATCTTAGATTTCCTCCCTGTGATTCACATTATGTGTGAGACTTTTCAGTCATCTTTGGTTAGCACCGGCTTCTGAGTTTATTTCAAACCTTTATGCTGTAAGTAAGGCAATTCGGCGAACGGTTTTAAAGGTGGTTGCAACATATCCTGTTAAATTGTCTTGTTTTTTCCCCCACGAAACACTTAAATAGCACAAATACTTTGTCAGATCAATAGTAAAATACTCTTTAAATGAAAGACTGAAGACCATTAATCAAACCTAAATCAAAGTGAATGGCTTAACTTTGTTCTATTTGGAGATTAAATGTAAGCATTTAAATACACACACCATAAAAAATACATGGTTTTCAATATTTTCCATCCGTTGACTTTCTATATGACAGTAATAGTGCCAAATTTGAAGCTTTATTTTATTCAAGAACTGTCTTACAAATTACTTTGCAAAATATTTTATATACTTTAATAGTGGAGAACCAGAGTTAAAAAATAATTCTAGAAGAGGTAGGAATTGAAATCTAGAAAGCTGAGGGCAGTAAGTCAAAATCAAACTGAGGTGGTGTGTGTTTGTGTCTTTAGGAATTCCCCAGCTTCTAGACCCTCCATCTGCCTGGGAACTGCATAATTCACTGTTTTGCTTTTAGTGTTTTGTTTTTTTTTTTTTTTCCGTGCTCATAGGGCCACCTCACGTAAAATTAGGTCCTCTTCAATAAAGGCCCAACAAAGAAAGCTCTGGCTCAGAAACCCACCATATGTTTTTCTTGATTTGGACTCTGTATTCCTCTCCTTTCTGTGTAGTTTAGGGCTATTTGGCACCTGCCCTCCGCTTTTTTTCCAGACCTTTTGGTTTTGTCATCCCTTTCTGACTACATTCTGTTTACTTAGCTGAGAAAGGATTGATTATCCCTCCATTGCCTAGAGTTTTTTTTTTTTCTCGCTCTGACTTTAGTCATACTCTTCTCTGTATGGATCCATCTAGTTGGGGCTAATTCCCAGTCTGATCTGCCAGAGCTTGTTATACAATACCTGCTCCCCTGTTCCTTTTATTTAAAATCGACAGCCTAGGAAGAGGTCCTCAGAGTAAACCCTTCCCAACAGTATAGAGACATCTTCACTTTCTACTAAAGATTAAAGCATGTTTGCCATTTTTTATTTACTCAAACTGAAAGAAGGCCAAACAACAAATAGATCTTTTCTTAAAAATAAAATAATTTCTACAATCATTTTATTCAAATAAAGACTTATTCCCAAAAATTGTGTTACAAACTTTCCTAATGATGTTTCTAATTATTATATAAAAGGTTATCAGCCTGAAACTAAGATCTAACTTTTAATTGAAATATATATACGTAGATTATGGTGAAGTTAAAAATAGTACATAAGACCTATGATGAGTTTCTATCTAGTAAGCAGTGAAGCTAAATTCAAACTGGGAAGAATTTTTCTTTAGCTAGGGTTGGGGCCAGCTTGAAATAGATCTTTTGGTAACAAAAATGTCAAACATGTATTCCCATACTCATTGTTATTGAAGAAAAATTGAAGTAATCCTGAATGTGTGTTGTTGACTGAGGAGTCCAATGTGGTTTGATAAGGTACATAATTTTATATCTGCTTTAGCTGTCACAGGTAAGTCTTGGTCTACTTGGTAGAGATTTTTGTTTGTTTGTTTTTGTCTGATGGATATATATAGTGTGCAATGTGACCTATACATTACTGCAGGATCTTGACACGTGTGTGCTCTTATTTGAGCAGTTACTCCTCGGAAATGAGAAGCTGAGGTAGAAATTGCTGGAGACGGCCATGAGAGATGCTTCTCTCTTCCTGCAAGAGGAAAGGTTGTGACAAGGAGCTCAAAAGGGTTTGCCATGATTGAACCTGGGTTGGCATTTGAATACCCTACACATGGCATTATTAAGGAAAGTGATGATGTTGGACTATGCATTTTGCTGTTATTGTATTGGGACAGTGTAGGAGAACATGACTTATGGGTGAGGTTTTCTCTGAAGGAGACTGATGTTTCCAACAGAAGTATCCTGAGATGAGACTTAACTTTGGATGGGAGGTGAGAAATGGGGAAGCCAACCATAGATTAAATGGAGAGAGAAAATACTTCCCCTTTTAGGAATTTAAAGATGGTTGAACTCCTAGAGGGTGAGTATTCTTAAAAGGATTCACTTTGGTGGGCAATAGCTGATTCTCCAAAAACTGGAAATAACTTGTTCTAAACGATTCCAGATACTTTTTGCTCCAAAAGTTAATTGGGAACAACGGCAATTAGTCCTTCCAGTTGCTTAGGCCAAAAACTTGAAGCCACCCTGGATCCCTTTCTTTTGCTCACATCACACATTTAATCTTCAGGAAGCCATTCTGGCTTTAATATATCCAAAGTATAGACACTTCACATTTTCCCTGGTACTACCTGGGCTTGATTGCATGATTATTACAATAGCTTGCTAAGTGCTTACATCTTATTCATGGACAGTCTATTATATTCACATGTCATTCAGTGTATTACTGCTAATTTTAACTCGGTTCATGTGACTATGCAGCCTCTACACCGTGGTGGCTCCCCATTTCTCTCAAAGTAAAAAACCATGTCCCTTATGGTTTAAATGGTCTAAAATGCCCTATATTATCTTATTAACTGGCTCCCCATTACCTCTCTAAACTTAAATCCCATTTTTCTCCTTTTTATTCATTCTGTTTTTACCACTTTTTGTACTTTTTTTTTTTTTTTTTTTTACTGCCAGGCCAGGAATGCTGTATTCAAAAGGGTGGATTGAGGAACATCACGCCCTTGTTCTCCCATGGAGACGTAAAATAAAGACCTAGACAGTGACTAACATTATAGGAGTTTTGGGCATGATTAAAAGAACTACAGCAACCAAGAGAATGCCCAGTTAAAAACAAAATTCAAATGGTAGGAAGTTTTGTTGTTTTTACTTGCCCTTGTTCCACCTCTTCTCTGGCATAGCATGGCACAGTTTGGAGATAGCAGTGGGCTGGTCCCTAGTTCCCATCCATGAGCAACAGAGAACAGAACGAATAGAATTTGCAAATATATACCTAGTGCACAGGCTGCCTGAGTGATTTGTCTCTATATCACCTAACTCAGAGCTCAAGTGGCCAAGACCTGTGATTAGCAGTGGGCCTGTGTTGTGAAAGCCAAAATGGGACTACAGGCCTGCAGACACAGGGGGAAGGAAATTACACTTCATCCAACAAAGGCAGAATACACAGTTTTCTCAAGTGAATATGGAATATTATCCAGGATAGACCACATTTTAGGCCACACACAGAAACAAATCTTAACAAATTTATAATGACTCAAATCGTACAAAGTATCCTTTCCAATCACAGTGGAATGAAACTTGAAATCACTAGCAGCAGGAAAACTGGGAAATCCACAAATATGTGGAAATAAAGAAAACACTTTTTTTTTTTTTTTTTTAGTATTACCATTTGTTGGTGACAAACACTAAGTTTTACTTACATTCTATGGGGAGAAAAAATTCCAGCGCAAACAATGAATCAAAGCGGTATTTAACTTGCAAGGCTATGGTGCTTTTCATCTGGACCTTATGCAGGACCTTAACTGCACAGGATTCTGTGCACAGTAACACAACATCAAAAGCAACAGTTTCAGAGATAAACATGGGTCATTCTTTTCAGCCCTACAGGGAGATGTAATCAAGTACAAAGCTCTCAAGGAAATCCATCTGTGGGTTTATATGTACTACATGGAGACCATACCCTGTAGTGTAGTGAAAGCTACGTGTCCTCAAGAGCCATATGTATGTACACATGATTTTTTTAAATAATCTTTAAAACAAAGATCAAAGTTCATTTGTTTAAGTTCTGTTGCATTAACAAAAATAAAATAGAAAAGGAACCAAATGATCATTAAAGTTTAAAATTCCTAAATTGTCCTATTTATACAACTGTGGGAGACTTCATCAAGGACTCTGAGAATTCCAGGACTGTTTCAGCTAAACCAGAGGGCACATAGTTTGCATCACTGAAATGGTCCTGGGTTAGTCCAACAAAATCAAAACGTATAACCACATACACATGGATGTGATCTTTGCTGATTAGATTACTGATAGAGTCAGTCTCAGACAAGTTTCTAAACTGCTATGTAACTAAATACAATTGAGAAACTCTCAGATGAAAATTTATATAGTGTCATTTCAGTCAAAAGAAAAAAATAAAACTAGGAACATCTATCTCTTTTGGGAGAGAAAGCAGTGGTGATGACAGTGTTGGTGCCACGGGAGGTGGGGGCCAGAGCACACTAGAATAGTTAGTTCGTACTGAGTAGGAAGCATTTGATTTTCTCTAGTGCTTTCAGCTCTGGGGCTAGTCTATGGCCCCGCTCCCCGGCGTGGGTGTCCAAGGTGTGTCCCAAGGGTTTGAGTGAGCCACTCTGAGAAAGGGTCGTGCTCTGTTCCCGGTTTCCTTCACACAGCCCAAAGAGCAGAGGCCACAGCAAAGCACCGAGGGGTCCGGGGCCACTTGGCAGGCCCCACTGTGCCCCCCAAGCAGCTGCCTGTGTGTGAGGACAAAATAGCACCTGCGAGCGCAGCCACGACTGCCTCCTTGTGTTCCCGTCTTCGTCACCACTGCCGCCTCTGGTTCTTTACCCAGCATGTCTCTCAGCCCACTGGAGGTATCAGAAATTCCAAATTCTCAAAGCTAAAGTTTCAGTATTTTCAGTATATATGTTGGGGTTTTACCATTATTCATGGCCAGAGAAGGTTCAGCACCACCCACACACAGACATTAGCCCATTTCCTGTTCTTGGCATCTCTGTACTCGGTTGGTCCAACTCAGACAGCAACTTTAAGATGTTCAGTGCAGCCATATCATGGCAGGACTCCACATCCTTTCCAATACCGTGGCTGCTCAGAGGTGGCTGAGAGGAGCAATTGATAAGAGATACAAATTCGTTCTTGTTGTTTTTGGGGAAGGCTTTGTATTCAACCTGGAATCCCTGGACTCTGGAAAGATAGTCCAGCTGCTCAGAGGGTCTTGTAAGAAGTCCATGGGGTACTTGGCCTGAAGAGATGTTATTCTTTAAAATGGTATCGGCTGTGGGCAAGGTGCTCCCATACAACAACTCACAGGCTATCATGGCAGTTACCCTGGCCTTAGCAGGATTTGGAGCTGCCCTGGTGAAATCTTTGGCGTGGTGTCCTTAACTGATTCCTACAGCCTGGGCAACCTCGGGCACCATGGGAAGAATCCCCGCAGGCAGCTGCTGATGACTAAAATAAGGCATCCTGAACTCATCCTCTTTATTGCTAATTCCATTTTCATCCCCAGAGGAAGGTTCAAAAAAGGTTACTTTTCTTCCATCCCCTGGTTTTTCTATTGGTGTCTTCTCTGATTTGAGGGCTGGTTTGGTGGGCTGAGCCTGTGGGACTTTGAAACCAAAGATCTCCAGCATGTTCTCAGCTGTGTTGCGTTTAGCCACCTTCTTGTTGGTGCCTGTTCCTTCTGCGGTATGGTTTCCCACCTTCATCTGCATCACAAACTCTCTGCAGCGCGGGAGGCCTCGCTCTGTGAGGAGCATGTACTCTGGCTCCTTCTCCTTTTTCGCCTGCTGGATCTGGGCCAGTCTGCTGATTGGTTCATCCCCTGGCCACAGTCTGTGCTGCTCTGTAGCCTGACTATGGATTTTCTTTTTGATTCTGGACCTCACTCGCTCGACCGTAGGCAGCGGTGGTAGTTTCTTCAGCTTCTCGAGGACGGCGATAGTAGCGTTTTTCTTTGAAATCTTCTTGCTCTTCCCTTCACCTTCCCCCACAAACTCCCCAACTTGTCACAAAGCTCTTCAAATGGGGGTGGTCCACTCTCCCTGGCAACCTCAAAATTCACAGGCAAATTCCGTTTAAGTGCAATGTCAAACACTTGACTTATTTCCGATTTACTGAGATTTTCTTCTGATTCTCTTCCATTCACCTGCTCGCCTGGCCGCCTTCCCTCCCGCCTCTCGGGCGGGGGCAGACGGGGGCTCACTCTGCAGGGTCTGCAAAGCTTTCGCAGTGGTGTCGTGTCTCGCGACCTGCCTCCTCTTGCCTTTCCCGTTAAACTGCTCTCCTCCCACAGAAAGCTCAACTTGAAAAAGTAAAGGAGGTACTGGAAATGGGTAAAAGTACCTTGGGGGATAAGCACCTCCTCTCATGTAGTTATAGGTGGACTGCATCCTAGAGTAAGGGTCGACAGGTTTATACGTTTTTTTTTTTTTCCAAGTTTCATTCACAGTGCATTTAGTTCTACAGTAGGGGTTATGCTTTCTTAAAAAGAGGTGTTCCTGGAATAATGCTGTTTTGGTTCAGTTCTGAGAGGTTATGTGGTTAGGAAACTCCTGGCTGCTGCCCCGAGCTTGTCCCCTAGCTGGCGGTCCTGGGCAGTGGAGGTAGTGGCGGGGGCGGCTAGGGTGGCGAGGAGGAGAAGGAGGAAGGAAGAAGGGAGAGGAGGAAGGGAATGGCGGAAGGAAGAGGCGGAGTGGCCGTGGAGGAGGCGGGCGCCGTGGGGCCGAGGGGTCGGGGAAGGGGGAGCTGAGCTAGACGCAGCTACCGCCGGCGCAAACGCTAAGAGTAAACAAAACACTTTTAATCAATGGGTCGAAGAAAAAATAAAGGAAACTTTAAAATATCTTGAAAAAAATGAAAACACAACACACAGAAACTTACGGGATGCAACGAAGACAGGGCTAAGAGGGAAATTTATAGCTGTAAATGTTTACATTAAATAAAATATAAAGGAAAGGAGACCTAACTCAAATCAACAACCTGAATTTACACCTTGAGGAAGTAGAAAAAGAAGTTAGAGCCAAAGCTAGTGGAGGAAGGAAATAATAAAAACAAAAATAGAGATAAATGAAATATAAAATAGATAAAATCAATAATCAAGTTGGTTTGTTGACAATAACAACAAAATTGACAAACCTTTAGCTAGACTGACACAGAAATAGAGGACTCAAGCAAATAACATCAGAAATGAAGAGGGGACGCTACTACCAATTTTACAGAAATTTCACTATGATAGCTATAGCCTTGCAAAATGCATTTTTTAAAAGTAATAAGACATGACAGTCAAAATTATTGCTTGATTCATGGGCTTTGGAAATGATGTTGCATTAGCAGCCATGAAAACAACATCAATCTCCTTGTACATCTCCATCAGAGCTCTTGAGTGACTTGGTACATTGTCAATGGGCAGTCATATTTTTTTCTGAATAGTAGGTCTGGAAAGATCTCTGCACCTCTATATTTATTGTGTGTTATTCCCAAGGGCCAAGATATTGAAGCAATCGAAGTATCCATCCATAAATGATTGGAAAAAGAATGGGATATTACTCAGCCATAAAAAAGGATGATATCTTGTCATTTGCAGTAACATAAATGGACTTAGAAGGTATAATGCAAAGTGAAATAAGTCCATCAGAGAAAGACAAATACCTTATGATTTCACTCATATGTGGAATTTAAGAAAAAAAAAGACACAAATGAACAAAGGAAAAAAAAGGGACAAACAAACAAAGAAGACACTCTTAAAAACAGAACACAAATGAGTGGTTGCCAGAGGGGAGGTGGGCAGGGGGAATGGGTGAAATAGGTGAAGGGAATAAGAGTACACTTATCTGGATGAGCACTGAAAAATGTATAGAATTGTTGAATCATTATACTGTATACCTGGAACTAATATAACACTGTATGTTCATTATACTTCAATAAAATATAAACCCCACTGAATTGCATACCTAAGAATGAACTAAATTGAAGATTTTATGTTATACATACTTTGCCACAATAAAAACAATGCTTTAAATGTAAAAAACAAAAGGGGTATCTGGCTGGCTCATTCAGTAAAACATATGACTCTTGATCTTGGGGTTGAGAGTTCAAGCCCCACGTTGGGCATAAGTGGGCAAGCCCCACTTAAAAAAAATATTTAAAAAATGCAAAAAAAAAAAAAAAATCCAGCGTGATTTCCACTCAGTCTTTGCACTGCCTGTTTCCTCTGCATAGAACATTTTATCCCAATTTATCTACAGAATTAATTTTCTTAGCCCTTCCAATCTACACTCAAATGTCATTTTTAAGTGAATCTATCCTTGAGCATCCCATAAAAATTATCCTACCCAGAAACTCCCAAACTACCCGAACCCAGTCTACTTTTTAATAATACTGATCACATTATACTTAACTATTTATTTATTATTTCTACCATTTTTATCTGTTTTCCCACCCAACAGTAAGCTTCTTGAGTACAAGGATTTTCATATTTGCTTCCACGTGTATCTCCAGGATCCATGATAGTGCCTGGCCCAAAATAGATGCTCCGTAAACCTTAATCCTGAAAGTTTAAAGGAGATTGCCATACAACTAAGTACATGTATGTTGTCATGCCTTGACCCATGAGTATTGAGACATATTAACGCTAACTATAAGCTACTGTGTAGATTTTACTTTTAATTATCACTGAGTCATATCAAAGGTCCACCATGACCTCAAATGATATTTTTGGGAAAGAGACAAACAGTGTCCATCTAAGCTTTGAAATACTATGGGAAAAAAATACCCTAGGGAAAATTTCAGTGTAGAACTCGTACATATGGTCACAACAAAGCAAACAGGAATGCCAAGAGGAAAGAGATCAGTCCTGAGTCAGATGAATGATCAAGGTGTGAAGAATAACTAGATTTTACTTATGGTTATCCCCAGGGTGTACCCAGAAAAATCTGGTGTTGTAGAAACTAGTGAAAAACTGGTTTCCAACAGTCAAGAAGGATGGGATCCCAAAGCCACTGTGTTTTGTAATATTACCAGAAGTATTACTTCATAACCTGGTGAAGGGGTGCCTGGATGGCTCAGTAGGCTATGGGTCTGTCTTCAGCTCAGGTCATGATCCTAGGGTCCTGGGATCAAACCCTATGTCAGGCTCTCTACTCACCTGGAAGTCTGCTTCTGTCTTCCACTCTGCCTACTTGTGCTCGTGCTCTCTCTCTCTGTCAAATAAATAAATAAAATCTTAGAAAATAAATAAATAAACGTGGCACTTTATTTAAAAAAAAGAATAGTCCACTAATCTCATAATGATGCTACTGTAAAATAGGTGTTAATATATTTTAATTTTATAAATGGGAAACCTAAAGCCCAGAAATATCCTACAACTTTTTAAATTACATTGTACTTCCATTTATCTGATTTCAACATAAAACATTCCCAGGACCAAGAAAGAAGTTTTCTGTTTTAATTTTTCTTTCTTTCTTTTTTTTTTGCATCAGATATTTTTTAATTTAATATAATTTTACTATGTTATGTTAGTCACCATACAGTACATCATTAGTTTTTGATGTAGTGTTCCATGATTCATTGTTTGCATATAACACCCAGTGCTCCGTGCAATATGTGTCCTCCTTAATACCCATCACCGGGCTAACCTATCCCCCCCACCCCCCTCCCCTCTAAAACCCTCAGTTTGTTTCTCAGAGTCTATAGTCTCTCATGGTTTGTCTCCCCCTCCGATTTCCCCTCCTTCATTTTTCCCTTCCTTCTTCTAATGTCCTCCATGCTATTCCTTATGTTCCACAAATAAGTAAAATCATATGCTAATTGACTTTTTCTGCTTGACTTATTTCACTTAGCATAATCTCCTCCAGCCCCATCCATGTTGAGGTAAAAGCTGGGTATTCATGCTTTCTGATGGATGAGTAATATTCCATTGTATATATGGTCTACATCTTCTTCATCCATTCATACTGCTGAAGGGCATCTCAGCTCTTTTCACAGTTTGGCTATTGTGGCCATTGCTATTATGAACATTGGGGTGCATATGGTCCTTCATTTGAGTACATCTCTGTCTTTGGGGTAAATACCCAGAAGTGCAATTGCTGGGTCATAGGGTAGCCCCATTTTTAATTTTTTGAGGAACCTCCACACACTTTCCCAAATGGCTGCACCAACTTGCATTCCCACCAACAGTGTTAGAGGGTTCCCCTTTCTCCACAACCTCTCCAACATTTGTTGTTTCTTGCCTTGTCAATTTTTGCCATTCTAACTGGTGTAAGGTGGTATCTCAATGTGGTTTTGATTTGAATTTCCCTGATGGCTAATG